CTGCTAAACATCTTCTGATGCATCCGACAGCCCCACAGCAAAGGATTATTTGACCAAAGTGTCAATAGTACCAAGAAACTTCACAAACCACTTTGACACATTTGACCAGTCATAGCACCTTCTACACACACTGCACAAACCTTTTTTGGCATTTTAGTCGCATTTTTACTTTTCTAAAAATAACAAAGCTTAATGCTCCAAAAAATGTTGCTTATTCTTTTCCATCTTCAATATTTAAATGACTACCAAAAATCCACCAATTTTGATAAGTTTTTTTTTTAGTAAAAGGCCAAACATTTATGTGATCTGAAGAGAAACCAGGGTATTGAAGATAAAGTTCTTTAAATTCACACTGATAGGACAGCTGTCCCAATAAAATCTAACAAAATTGTTTCCAGGGAAGTTCCAGACACCCAAGCGCTGCTGGAGCCGCTGTGCAGAGAGCAGCGTTAACGGACGTTTTGGCCAGCCCGGCCCTCGTGTTGGGCCCGACAGGCAACAAGCGGTGTCACAGGAACTCAGGGTGTCGGCATTTTGTTCCCCAATTCGCCTTTTTTTTTAAGATTTTGTTTATTTATTTTTTAGAGCGGGAAGGGAGGGAGATAGAGAGAGAGAGAGAAACACCAATGTGCGGTTGCTGGGGGCCGTGGCCTGCAACCCAGGCATGTGCCCTGGCTGGGAATCGAACCTGCGATGCTTTGGTTTGCAGCCCGTGCTCAGTCCACTGAGCTACGCCAGCCAGGGCTCCAATTCACCTTTTAAGCTAATTCAAACTACTCTCTTTTCCTTTTAGTTATTAAATCACTGATGTGTTTTGGATTTTTAAAATTTGAAGGCCGTCTCCCTCTGTGGCTTCTCGGAGCTGATCCCATTGATAAATCTCTTAGAAAAATGTGGTTATCCGGGTGCTCACATTTGTTCGTTGTGACCTACCTGCAGTGGCTTAAAAACCACGGTTTTAAAATCATGCTTCATTTCTCTTTCTAGGCACTTTATTTGAACGGGCTGTGTAATTTTTATGCTAAAACATTTTCTCTCCTTTTTCACTATAGTATCATCTTTATTTTTTTTTTCATCCCCAAATATTTCTTTTCTTCCTTGGCTCTGCTCTTGAGCCTTCAAATGTACCCTCATTCCCTGCCTTTACTTATGTGTCTCACTGGTTTCTCACCGTGCTCGAAAACTTAAAACTCTGAGGTCCAAGGACAGGGCCCAATGTAGATGCAGAGATTCCATTCCTTCTCCTGACCTTTCACACCATTCGTGCTTTCCGGGTCACCAGGTCCATGCAGACACACCCCACGGGGAGTGAAGGGCAGAGCCCCGAGCAGGCATTCATTCAATAGTTGTTCAGTGAATGACTTCATTTCACAATCCCATGAGCACTCATGCGCCAAGAGGTGCTCAGGAACCCGAAACCAGGAAGGGCCAGCCAGCTTTAGGGCTTTAGACCAGAGCTTACCAAAAGCCTTGTTAAAACATGATGGGGGGAGAGAGAGCCTTCTCTCAATGCACCAATGGAGTGTTGCTGGAGAGCGTCAAGGAGAACCAAGCCCAGTTATTCACAGAGTGTAGCGAGGTGTGCAAAGTTATACATTAATTTCTTAAAACGGAAGTCTTGATTTCTTAACACGTGAAACAAAGGCTTCCGAAGCTGGAACACCTAGATACGTCCCTGTGCTGTAGTTTTTTGTGTTTTGGTGGGTTTTTTTTTTAATCTCCCCTGGGCTGTGCATATTAAAGAGACCTGATGAAAAATGTCCGAGTGAATGGACGAATGGATGAAAGGCGTAGCCCACGGAAGGGGAGGCTCTGAGCCTGAAGGGGAGAGGAGCAGAGACTGAGGACCGGAACCCCGGCGGCCCGGCCGCCTGCCCGTGCGATCTGAGGCCGCGTATCTGGTTTCCCTGCGCGTCCGCTTCCTGCTCCACAAAGCGAGAATGGATACGCTCGTGCCGCCGGCCTCCACGGAGGGGCATTAGGAAACAACACGAGTCTGTGTTTGCTACGCCCCACGAGAGTCTTCCTCCCGAGGCCTGGGTGAAGGTGTTGCTGTCAACCTCGTTTCCATGGCCCCTGAGAAAACTGGTTTTTCTGTCTCCTATTTAGGATAGGCTGACTTCTTTCACTGATGCTGTCTTCCGTTCTGCATCCGCTTCTGGAAAACACGGAGCCAGACTGTAGCCCACTTCCCGCAGAATACACGGCCTTGACCCTGCCTTCCAAGTGTTCACACTCTTCCCCGCCGACACCGTGTTCCCCCTTCTCACTGGTTACACACCCTCACTGGTGTCGTCCTGGAGTTCGGATAGAGCTGGGTCATCTGGCTCGAATTGTTTTCGGAGTAAGGCGGTGAAAAGGGAGGAAGAAAGAAAAGAAAGAAAGGAGGGAGGGAGACAGGCAGGCGGGCAGACAGAAGGAAGGAGGGGATGGGAAGGGGAGACAGGAGGTGGGACCCGGAGGACCTGCTGCTGAGGGTTCTGGTGACCTGCACGCGAGGTCGCCGGTGCTGGTACAGCCAAGGCCTCCCCCATTTGCTGCCGTCCTCAGAGAACCGAGGGACCGTGCCCTTTTAGATGTGCACGGTAAATAAGAATGAACTTTCATGGATAATGATGCATATTTTAATGGAATTTATTGGGGTGACGGGGGTTCACAAAACCATGCAGGTTTCAAGGGTACAGCTCGATAAAACAACATCTGCTCCCTGCATCCTGCGCCCATCGCCTCTAGCAGAGTTTCCTTCCATCCCGCTTCCCCCGCCCGGCCCTCCTCCGCCCGGCCCCGCCCCCTTTCCCTCTAGCCATCACCACGCTGCTGTCTGTGCCTGTGCACGTAGGCTTTTTGGCCGATTCCTTCACCTTTTTTCATCCGGTCCCCTCCCCCCTCCCCTTTGACCACTGTCCGGCGACTCCAAAGATCCAGGCCTCCGTTTCTATTTTGTTCGTTTATCTTGTTGGTTAGGTTCCACACACACGTGAGACCCCACGGTATTCGTCTTTCTCTAATCGGATTATTTCACTTAGCAGAAGCATCTCCAGGTCCACCCAGACTGTCACAAAAGATAAGATTTCCTTTCTTTCACAGCTGAGTGGTTTTCCACTGTGTACACGGACCACGGCTTTTTCATCCACGCGTCTCCTGACGGGCACTTGGGCTGCTTCCGGAGCGGAGCTTGGCGATTGTGATAGAGCTGCTATGAATATAGGAATGGATAGGTTCTTTCAAATCAGTGTTTTGGGATTCTTAGAATGTATTCCCAGAAGTGGGATCATAATGTGTTTTTTTAAACATTTTATTTATTTATTTTTAGAGAGGGAAGGGAGGGAGAAAGAGAGAGAAACATCAATGTGCGGTGGCTGGGGGCCGTGGCCTGCAACCCAGGCATGTGCCCTGACTGGGAATCGAACCTGCGACACTTTGGTTGGCAGCCCGCGCTCAATCCACTGAGCTACGCCAGCTGGGGCTTGAATCATAATGTGTTTTTAAAAGAATTTAAAAAATTGCAATGTCTATAATTCCGCAACTTTAAAACGTGCTCCCTGGAGTTCCCACCAGTGCATAGGGTGACAAGGAGCTGGGACAAGTGGAGGAGGGAGGACATTTGAGTGTCTTCAACCAAAGGCTCCCAGAATTGCGTGGTTTCTTTTTTTTAATTTGTCCACTTTTATTGACATGTAAAGTTTCTGCTGAGCAAGGGTCACACGGGGAAACCGCAGTTGGGAAGCGCTCACACATGTCCGTCACAGGATGGCAAGGTGGACGCAGATTTGCAAAGTGAAGCACCATGCACTGTCGGCTCGCAGGTCTGAGCGTTCAAACCGCCTCCTCTTCTGTGTGCATGCCGGTCTCCACCGGGGTCAGTGCACCAGTGTGCCGCGGGATAATGTGAAACTGCAGAAAGGGAACTCGGTTTAAAACAACATCCCAAAATAGAATTGTAGAGATCCCCTCCTCCCCCCTACCCCCTCCCCCGAGCCACCCACCAGGAAACCCAGTGAGCCTCCGTGGGTGTCCTACTCGAAAGATGCCGCGTGGGGCGCCAGCGAGGGGCGTTTTCTCCCCCGCCGCCATCCATGTTCCGGCGCATTCTCTCTCTCCCCCCAGAAGGGGCAGCGGTGCCTCCCCAGAAGGAAAAGGGAAGTGGCTCGGGCACCGGCCTTTCCGAGGAGAAAGCACCTAAAAGTCCCTTAGATCCCCATCTGTGAATTACTAGGGGGTCAAAGTTCCTTCCTCTTTCCTTGCCTGCTTGTAGAACTTTGATCACTTCCTTGTAAGTTTTAAAGTCTATCTGCTGGGTGGGCCAAGCACATTCCTCCTAAGCATGACAATGCATCTGGGGATGTCTGGGGAAACGTCAAGCGTTACAGGTGTGTGTTGCTGGGTAACCAGAGGCTCTAAAGGTTAGAGACGGAACACGATCATTTTAGCATCTCTCTTGCTCTCCGTGTAAGGAGCACAGCTGACCGGGGGTGTGGACACCTGGGGCTCCAATGGGCGGAAACACCCTGAGAGGCCAGCCTGGGAGGCGGGTGGGTGCAACTGCCCACCTGCTGGGAGCGCAGCAGGCTCTGGTCCCCGCCCGGAGCACCCGGGTCTCCTTCCCTGGCTCTTCCCGTGGCTCCCACCTTGCGGCAGAGGGAGGGGACGTGCCAAGAATAGGCATTCTACAAGGGAGGGTTCTCCAGCCTTCTGAAGGGTCCGAGCAGTCCCAGCACCAGCCTGGATTCAAGGGGGCGGCGGGGTTGGGGGTGGGGGCAGTGGGCTTCCACCCCCGATAAAGCAGCGGTGGTGGGCAGCAGGGGGAGGAGAGATGGGTGAGGGCTGGCTTTGCAGACCGCCACGTGGAAGGTCAAGAAACATCTATTCCTTACATTGCAGACAGATGGTTCCACATCACGAGAGAGGCAGAGGAAGCCTTCTTCCCTTACTAAATGGACATGGGCACTTTAAGAATTAATATGCACAACCGTCCTTCCTTATGTTCGTCCCCCCTGCAGATCTGTTGCCTGAAAGCAATAAAAAATGGCCCGGGGATCAGTGTCCGACGAGGAAATGATGGAGCTCAGGGAAGCTTTTGCCAAAATTGGTGAGTAGACCTGGTACCTCAGGGGGTACAATTCTCTTTTCTATCGAGGATCTCCAGGACAGAGTCCGTGACATGCTAAAACGAGCAGAAGTGACAGGAACCCGGTGCACTGGGCGCAGGAGCTGGGGAACTTCGCTCTGAAATGCGCCTTTCGGAAGACAAACCCGTCTTCCTCCATCACAACACGGAACAGGGGCCCCTTGTCCCCTGTAGCTCTTCCCGGAGGACATGGCCCCTCCGCCTCATCTTTTTACTGCATCTGCTGTCTCTGGTTTTCTGTGTTAATTACTTTCTTTTTTTAAAGTATTTTTCTGTGTTTTCTTTGTGTTTCATACTGTTTCTTACTCTTTCTCGCTCAGCCTGTGGTTTATTTCCCCGTCCGATTCCATGAGAGTCCCGTTAGGTTCTGTTGCCAGGCCTCTGCTTTGAAGTTACGCCTCTGGGATGTCGGCAGGGATATTAAGGACCATATCCCACAGGGACTGCCCTCTGGCGAGACTCTGACTCTGGCGTGGGGTCCGGCCGTGACCCCTGAATGATCACTCCTGCTGCCCGCTCACCCCCACCCCCCGCTCCCCCCCCAGCCTCCCCTCACCTCTCTCCCTGCTCTGAGCCGAGTGGCGCTGAACCTGCACCGCGTCGTCCGCCCCGCAGATACGGACGGCAACGGCTACATCAGCTGCAACGAGCTGAACGACCTGTTCAAGGCCGCGTGCCTGCCCCTGCCTGGGTACCGCGTGAGGGAGATCACGGAAAACCTGATGGCCGAGGGTGATCTGGACCGGGATGGACGCATCAGCTTTGATGAGTTCATGAAGGTGAGGATGACGCAGACGGGGCGGGGTCGGGGGGGCGGTGCGGGTGTGCCTGCAACCTTAGAACTTTGTGTTCGGCAAAGACCCGGAAACACACGGCTACTCTCCTTGCATCGACATGGTGTATCCTTTGTGCTTTGCTGGGTCACACAGCGGGTTTCTAAAGATACGTTGTGTCTCTGCAGGTTTTCCATGGCCTGAAAAGCACTGAGGTGGCCAAGACGTTTAGAAAAGCCATCAATAAGAAGGAGGGGATTTGCGCCATCGGCGGCACCTCGGAGCAGTCCAGCGCTGGCACCCAGCACTCCTACTCGGGTAAGCCGTGCCGATGGGCGTGGACCGAGGGGGGGGGGTGCGGGGAGAGCTGGGGGCCGAAGGAGAGGGGCCCGTGCAGAAAGGACCCCTTTTCTGGGACTGCACGTTCTAAACTCGGTATTCACACTGGGGGCTGTAAAGCGCATGGGCTACTCCTCGTCTCCCCGAGCATCAGTGAGCCAGCACTCCCGGCTCTGGGTGGGGCCCGGCACCAACTACTCCTACCGGCATTTAAAAAAAAATGCATAAAAGGCTGCAGAAATTCCTTTGTAACCCTTTCGGGCAAAGTGAGTTGCAAAGGCTTCTTTGAACTTCCAGCTTCATAATTAGTCTTCATGCCTGCTGAGGGGTCCGAGAGCTTGTTGTTTTTGTTGATTTGCAAGACAGCTTTGCGTTTAGTCTGAAGATCCTGAAAGCAACCACCCAGCAGCCTGAGTGGGAAACCTCTGATCGCCCACACAAGGCAGCACCCCAGCAACCCCCAAACTGAGTTCTTCAAAACCTTAGTTGCTCTTCAAGATAAGTCCATGGTTACATACTGCCTAAGCCGCTGCTAAGACAAAGGTCAGCCTTTTATTTTGAAATGCAGACGTTTTCACGGCTTTCTGCATTGTAAATGGACATGGTGAGACTTAAAGACCATGGTGTGCTATGGCTGCGTTTCTCAACGTTTTGTGGCTCAGGATTCTTCCGGGAGCCATGGTTGCTTCAGTGGCACACATGTCGAGAAACGCAGTGTTGGGTGTGACTCAGGGTTTTATTGAAACTTCTAAAATCCACCCCTGGCAGCTTGACCAGTAGGAAAGCAGCATTATGTATCACAAATGATTTTATTTCATAGCAATTTCAGGATAATGAAACTCAGAGACATTCCAAGGAGTGTCTGTGGTCATCCCACATTTAAATCAGCAAGGCTAACAGCTAGAACCCCAAGTTTTATTCTGTAAGAATTAGAGCACATTTGTATATAAATTATAAATAAACATAAAGAAAAATACCTGTATTATTCATATATATTTACATATCTATAAAACATAGCTATACACTTGCTTCTAAATATAAGTTATCTGCACGCTTATATGCCTTCTACACCTGCTGGCTGTGTGTTTTCTGACTGGGACGGAGCCGAGACGCCGTGCCCATGTCCCAAGTCTTCCGAGACTGTCAGGGGTCCGTACGTGTGAGATGATCAGGTAGATACTGGGTAAGAGAGGCTCACAGAGTCTCTCCCGGGCTGGAGAACCTCAGGTCCGCGCGCCCAGTTCTGCTGCTGTCAGAGTCTCACGCTGCCACCACCCCCCCTCCCCACCGTCTCCGCCCCCGCCCTGCAGAGGAGGAGAAGTACGCCTTCGTGAACTGGATAAACAAGGCCCTGGAAAACGACCCCGACTGTCGCCACGTCATCCCCATGAACCCGAACACCAACGACCTCTTCAGCGCTGTGGGCGACGGCATCGTCCTTTGGTAAGATGGCACTTCCTTCTCTGGTTGCCAGAGCGCTCCCTAGAAGGTTCCGGAATACCAGCGATGAATTGCGTTGATCCCGGGCCAGCTTCCTTCACTGCCCAGCTGGACCTGAAATGCTTTTCTGGACTTTTGACTCGGCGGGTCCAGGAGAGAAAAGTGATGCAGGGAGAACCTTAAAAAGAGAAGTGGAAAACTACTCTTTCTTGGGGGGAGGAGAGGGGTGCACGGGAGAGACACCCACATCAACAGGGAGCTCTAGTAACACGAGGTCAAAAGCAATTACTTTTGGAAGAGGTGCCACAGCGTACGTACACGAGAGCAGGCAGGACAAGCCACCGCATCCTGGCGCCAGGGTGAAACCCAGGGCGGGCCCTTCCGACGGGGAGGGGCAGGTGGTGCACGCCGTGACACAGTGGAGCACACGCACCCGGGAGAAGGCGTTCTTTCTGGGGGGGGCTCAGAGCCCAGCGGGGTGTGTTTGCGGCGGTGCCTTCGACCATACCTCTGTCACCGTCACTGTAAAACCCACCCCATCTCCGTAAAACTCACCCTGGGGCCCGTGAGGAGGCTTCCCAGGAGTTGAGGGGAGGGGTAGGTGGGCAAGACTTTGAGCCCCTTTGCTCTGCTCTGACCAGAGCAATTCTGCTTTTGGAGTTTCATTTATTAGAGTTCATTTTTTAAAGGCTCAACTGCTAAAAAAAAAAAAACATCAAACACCTAGCCGACCAGAGCAAGGCCTGATTCCTTCAGCTGGCACCCAGCCTGCCCCGTGGCCTCCCATCAGTGTCCTTGCGGTTTGACCTCCCACGACCCCCTGACCCCGGAACCCGGCCGGGGGCACCGCGTGAATGCCTTCACGGGCGACAGCGAGCAGACGGACTCTTTCCCGTCCACGCCCTTCTCGTAACTTGCAAGGGTGGCTTCGCCTTGCGTTTGCCTTTTTAAAGAATGCCCTTCCTCATACTCTCCTCCTTTCCAAACCCAGTTAGGGGGTCGTTTTCCGGTCCATCCCGACCTCCAGTGACCCACCCCCAACTGAATCCTTAAAGCACACAGTGTTGTGATACTCGGAGGGCCATACTGAGGTCCTGCTTTGCACTGTGACATGCCTGTTGATATCCACGCATGGTGTCCCTGTAATCAGAGTGTCCACCGTTCAGTGGCAGGGACCAGTGACCCTCTTTAAAGCCACCTCTACCCCGTCATCTCCCAGAGCCTCTCTCTCATTCACTCCAGTCTCATACTTTTCAAATGATGCTTTAGGGGTTCGTTTTGCCCGTATTGCAGTAGAACGCCTTTTACTGAAATACATCTATATACACATGATAAAGTTATAGAAATATATCTTTTCTACCACAAGAAAAGGTAGTTGCCTAAACATTATTAGGAAAAAGATGTTCATGCTGCTGTCTCTTCTCATTAAAAAAAAAGGTCACAGTCAAGTTTAATATTCTTTGATTTTTGTTGTTGATTCTTTGAATTTTTTTCCAACTCTCTTTCTATAAATAAGATGGAGGTGACCTAAGGAAATTTATTTTTTATGCCCCATTGAAGGTTAAACCCATGGTAACTTGGGTGAAATCAGTTTTTCATAAATAGTATCTGCTTGCTATTACTATTTATGATATTGGGTGTTTGGCCGATGCATTAGACACTTGAGTGGGTGAAATTTCTAAAGTGCTGATGTAATAATGACTGCAGGAAGATATAAAACATTTTACTATGTGTTGGGTAAAAGGTACAGAGTTTGACCAGGTGTCAAATAGAAATGTAGGCATTCCATAAGCTCCAAAGTGTGTGATAATCTTTTATGTAGTGCAACGATTTTCATGGCTGAGAAAATAAAGTGCTCACGGACGATTCGCTCTGGCCCCCCACCCAGAATTCCCTGATATGCTAATGAAACCAGAATAATTTAAGGGAAGTGGGTGGAGCAGGGGTCCTTATTTCCCGCCTTTATACATCAATACGACTTTAGGAATATTATTAACCTTTCCCACAGGTAGTTTGAATCTCATCAAAACTGCATAACTGATTTTGTATGGAACTTTGGGTAGCCCCGGTGATGTTGCCGATCTCATTTGTGTATGACATTGCTGGAATTTAAATTCAGTGTTGCTGGGCCCTATTATTCAGAAGTCTTGCTTCCTTTACATTTATTGTTTCTCTTTCAGTAAAATGATCAACCTCTCAGTGCCCGACACAATCGACGAAAGAACAATCAACAAGAAGAAACTCACCCCTTTCACCATTCAGGTATGTCTCCTTCTGTCGTTGGGCTGGCCAAAAAGCTCATTTGGGTTTTTTTCCGTATGATGGCTCTAGTAGTACTTAGTTGTCTTTAACTTCACTCGAAATAATTTTGTTAGACTGTATTGTGACAGCTGTCATATCAGAATGCATTTAAAAAAATAAACTTATCAAAAATGGGTGAATTTTTGTGCAGCCATTTTCATATTGAAGAAGGAAGAAAATGTGCAACATTTTTGGTGTATTGTGCTTTATTACTTCAAGAAAGGTAAAAGGCACAACTGAAATGCAAAAAAAGATTTGTACAGTGTGTGGAGACGCTGCTGTGACTGATCGAATGTGTCAGAAGTGGTTTGTGAAGTTTCTTGGTCCTGTTGACATTTTGGCCAAATAATCTTTGCTGTGGGGCTGTCTCATGCATCGGAAGATGCTGAGTAGCACCCCAGGCCTCTACCCACCGGAAGCCAATAGCGGGAGACAGACGACGTACTCCACATAGCCAAATCAATACAGTTATTGGTGAACATCAAAAAGGAGTCTTTTACTTTACAGAAAAAAAACTGAACTGACTTTTTAGCCAACCAAAAAATTGACTTTTTACACCGAAGAACTGCTGAGTCTGACTTGCTCAGATGCTCAGAGGTTACTCCCCAGCCCCGGGCTTTGGGCTGGTGACTCGTCCTGACCAGCGTTGAGGGAGGGACACCCTCTGTTTGCTCGTTTATGAAGGTAACAGGGGCCAGGGGGATGGGAGAAGGTTCCCCCTGTCTCCCATCCCCCTGGGAGCAGCTGGGGAATTCTTTTCTTTGTTTTGGCCACTAGTGAATACAAATTCACACAGGTAACATTTTAACTTAAACTTTCCCTAGCAATTTATCTTGGAGCTGATACCAGATACACAGCATTCTAGCTACAAAGACACGCCTTTCTAAGAAGTGGGAGGGTGGCAGACAGGAAGTGCTCCCACAGCCCCACAGGGCTGTTTGCTACCCTCACCAAGAGAGATGAATGTAACTTGTTTTTATGCCTCAGTGTGTTGATTAACTGGAATGATACTGAGTAGTTAGTAAGGTGTCTTTCTCTGTTAAGTTCCAGTCTTGAAACATGATTGTCAATTTTCTTGCTCAGAAGCCATGTCTCATTTCTTAAATCGTGCACCAAGACTTCGCCTCCTGTTTGGATTTAAGCAACCCTGCATGCTTTTGAAATGGGATTGTTGTTAACCAAAGACAACAGTGGTGATGAAATGTATAGGAAAGCTGTTACTGTTAAATTGACTCATCATCTTGGCCATAACACGAACTGGTATTTTTCACTCATCATTTGAGCTGCTACTCACTGGGGCAGAAACATCGCTTTTCTTCCCATAGTTGCCGCCCCAGCGGATTCACTGGTGGCCAGTGTTGCGTTTTGTTAGTGTGTCCTAAAACCAGCTCCTCCACCTCTCTGACTCTGATACGTCCCCTCGGCAGACCCAAGAGCAGTATGCGGCCTCCAGACTGAAAACTTCACTGCCCCTGTTCCAGCTGCACACGAGTTACATTCCATACATTGTTGTTAGTGGTGCAAGCATATATAATCTATCCACGCGTGTGCTTGTGTGTGTGCACACATGCGGTGTGTGTGTGTATGGGTGTGTGCGTGTGCTCAAGGTCCCTGGGTATTACAGATACTCAGCCAACTGCCCTGGTAAGAACCATGCTCTCTTTCCTACGAATCTGATTTGTACCTTTTTCTTTCCCCTCATACCCAATCTGAAAGTGACCTTGACAATCAACAGCTGTGTTACGAACGACAGCGACCAGGCAATGAGGGTGTGTTCTCCCCTCGGAGGTGCCTCCTTGGTGTCTGGCCGATGGAGACGTTGCTTGTGAAGGCTCCGTCCCGTGGCAAGACGGGAAAATGCGTGACTCATGCGTTTCATCCCGACCAGGTTGGGCCCGCAGCCCGGGGGCCTGGGTGGGCTGCCCCAGCGCTGCAGACGCCCGGTGTCTGAGCTCCTGAGCTGTCTTTCCAGTTACTGCTCGCCGCTTTTCCTCGACGGTAAAATCTAGTGCGGACTGTTTCTCTCTCTGGACCTGGTGGACTCTCCAGAAGCAACACACCATCGTCGCTGCCAGTCAGTAATCATCGTTCGGCATGTGCAAAGTCACACACACAAAACTCTGCACTTTTTCTCCTGCAGGAGAACTTGAACCTGGCTCTGAACTCAGCCTCTGCCATCGGGTGCCACGTGGTCAACATCGGGGCCGAGGACCTGAAGGAGGGGAAGCCTTACCTGGTTCTGGGGCTGTTGTGGCAAGTCATCAAGATCGGGCTGTTCGCCGACATCGAACTCAGCAGGAATGAAGGTACGGACAAAGCTTCGAATGTTGTTGATGGCGTGGTTTTTTATTGCTACGTGTATTGGGGGCTGTAGGAGGTGATATCTGGGAATAGGGAAGCTTAGAATCCTCAGTGTTTGAAGACGAGAGTCATGGTGAATTCATTGTAGCAGATTCTGTCCGCACTGACCAGATTTGTTAAACAATGAAACAAAAGCTTTTTAAGACTACAGACTAACAATAATGCACATTTCCAAATTGTAGCTCAGGCTAGCCGTCTGGGACTCCGATAACAACAGCTTTTCTGGGCTAATTTGGCCTGTAGACACTGTAGAACAAATAAGTCTACTTTCCACTGATGTTTTATGAAACGATTCACAGTCATACACTGCAGTGATAGCAGCAGATTAGGAGACACTTGGTCCAGTTCTTACCAAAACGATAGAAAATTACATTTAGTGCTTCACGGTTCTCAAACTAAATATGTAGCTGTGAATCTTCTATTTTCTCTGAGCACCCTATCTGAATTTAAACAATTACAGCCCTATGCTTCCGACAGAAGTAATAGATCTGGACCAGAATAGTATAAAATACAATTTTACTTCCTTATTTTTGGGTACAGATCCTGCCAATATGAAATCTGAAGCCAAATTCTAATCTTTATATTATATCATATATAAATGTAAAGTGTATATATAAATTCATTATACACTTTTAAAGTCCAAATCACAATAACCAGTGAAGAACCCTGGGGTAATATAAAACCAATACATTAAGCATAACATACAGGAGAAGAAAAAGAACAGAGAACTCAGAACCCACGGGAAAAAACTATTGATTTGCAAATAATGACCTCAGCTCTATTTAAACCTTCTAACTGAGCAAGAAATATGTATCCACCTGGGACATATAGAGGAAAGAGTTGATTATACTTTTTTTGAGCTGCTATTTATAATTACACAGGTAAGCACTTGAAACCTAAAACACCTATGGGAACAGACAAGAGGACGTTGTCGTTAACGCAACATTGATCTCTTAAGAGCAAAAATGCCGTCCTCTCGGACCCAGGGCAGCATTCTGAGCCAACGGGCTGGTTTATTTCCTTCGCTCTGCCGCCTTATCCTCAGGCTTAGCCTTGAGATGCGTTGGTGCTCCTCTTTCCCCGCCTGAAAAAATGAGGACCATCCATGAGCTCGCAGCACCCGACACCTTGTTTTAGGGAATGATAGTAGTAAGTGTTGGCTCCCTGGGAAAAGCTGCAGGTACCTAGAGCCCAGAGAGAGGGCGCTGTGATCTCCAGCTCCCCAGCAGAGCACAGCAATGCTGCCCCCGGGCCCCCGGCTCCCCCTGGGGTGACTCTGCTTCTGCTTCTGTGCGTCCTCAGCCCTGATTGCGCTCCTGAGAGAAGGGGAGAGTCTGGAGGACTTGATGAAGCTCTCCCCCGAGGAGCTCCTGCTGAGGTGGGCCAATTACCACCTGGAGACCGCAGGCTGCAGCAAAATCACCAACTTCAGCACCGACATCAAGGTAGGAGGGGGTGGCTGGAGCGGGGCTGACTGTGGCGGTGGAGGGCGCGTGGGCCTCCCCAAGTCCACGGCTGGGCCCCCGCGCAGGTCCGCCCGAAGTCCCAGCAGCTGCACAGCAGCAGCAGCAGTGGGAGAAGGGTCCTCCTCGGAGCTGCTGCAGCAGCAGGAGGTAGAGGGAGGAGGAGGAGGTGGAAGAAGGGCCAGAGAGAGAAGACGGCTTGTCCAGTGTGCACAGGGCCGGGAAGTCTTCGTGATTTCGTAAAGGAGACTGTCAGGTCGAGATCCCTTAAAAGAACTACAGGACCCCTGGCCAGTGGCTCGGTTGATTGGAGCAGTGTCCCACACACCAAAATGTTTTTGGCTCAGTTCCTGGTCAGAGCACATTCCTGAGCTGCAGGTTCGATCCCCACTCAGGGCGCATGTGGGAGGCAACCAGTCGATCTCTCTCTCTCTCTCTGTGTCTCCCTTCCTGTCTTTCTAAAATCAATAATATATTTTTTAAAAAGCATATCCTCAAGTGAGGATTTAAAATAATTATAATACTAAAATAAATTAAAGGAGGACTCTCCGGTTGCATTAACACCAGCACACACAGCATGGACTCTGTGCCAGGCACGGTTCTGCTTCATACATGTACGGACTCACTGGGCCCCGCAACGGGCCTCCGAGGTGAGGACTGTCGTTTTCCCATTTTACAGATGGGGAGACCGCGGTAAAGCGAGCTTAAGTTCACAGAGCAGGGGACGGGGTCAGGACTTAAGCCCAGCCGCCGGCCTCCACGGTTCACGTCCCCGACTGCCACCCTCCACTGCCTCTCTAAAAAAGGACAAGTCGGGAACTTCTTGAAAGGCTTTCTCTTCTATAGCGCAGAGTGATTGTTAGAGGCTAATGGCCCTAGAAACTGTCTGCAGGGGGAAATCACCCCGGAGCGTGCAGAAGACAATCAGTCCGACAGCACAGACAGGCAGATGGGGCACGGCGTGCCCTGCGGCTCTCGGTTTTGTGGAAGGTTCCAAGTCCCGGCGAAGGGGGGCAGCTGCCGACACAGACGACAGACGGACCAGGACAGACAGAGCCTAAGGAGCCATGAGAAATGGCAGGAGGCAGTCCCAGGGGGCCCATGGTGTGGGATGCTGGGTGCAGTGGGCAGAAAACATCTCGGTCCTCACTTTCTCAAGACCTAAAGCTGTTGCCTCCGAAGGGAGTCAACGGAGAGGGCACCCAGCTCACCAGCACTCACCCCAGGCTTCCGTGCTCGAGTGACAGCTTTCTCCGGCTGCGGGCTCCTGGCTGTCAGAACTTGGGGTCTCTCGGGCGGGGTACCTGTGAAGACGGAAGCTTCAAGGGTGTCAAGACCCCCGTTCCTGAGGACCTAAGCTGATAATGCCAAACTCATCTTTTTAACTATGCCGCTTTTCGTGGGTTATTAACAGCCCCGCCCACAGAACTGAGATTTAGCCAAAATGGGATTCTCCCCTCACCAGCCAAACTGGGGTCCAGCCGGACTGGGATTCTAGCCCCACCCACCAAGCTGGGGTTGACCAGCAGCTTTCCAAAAGCATCACCTTCCTCTGTGCCCAACAGTTAAGCTCTGCAATTGTTTCAGCCGAAATTTTCCAGCTTTTCAGCCAGAATTAGGCTGTTTGAGCTAAGCCATACTTTTACCTGATTGCCTGTCCCTGAGAGGCTGTGCTCTTCCGAACAGTAACGGCCTTGGACTTGGGAGGTGTCCGTGTGAGGGAGGAACCGGCCGGCTGAACACTCGCTTAGCGGCTGTGCCTGTCCGCAGGGAGCGGCCGCGCCCCAGCCGAGGTCCGCACTGTGACGTGGGTCTGAGCCACAGGCGGCTCAGAGATGCCCTGAAATCACACCAAGTCGACAGAGGCGGGGAGAAGGCCCCGCTGGCATGAGAGAGAAAGGTTTCTCAGGGTCAGATGAAGCGAGGTGACACTTGGCCAAACAGAAGTGACACCGGTTAGGGCCTAACACCTGCAGGGAACTTTCACCGGCTCAAAACAGCTGCAGTGAAAACGAGGAGGAAGGGAAGCAGGAAGGGAAGCGGTGAAACTCGGCTGCCCAGGTGCGACATCAAGGGCTGGCAGGTGTTTGTCCTGGTTTCTGATGCGCAGGTGGAGAGCAGGCCCCTGCTCTCCCCTGACTTGAAAGCACAGAAAAAAACAAAAAATATAAAACATTACAGCAGCTCATTTTTCAGCCTTTAAGAGACATGAAAATCGCTTTCAGTGGTTTAAAGAAATTACGTGACATCTGCATCTTTTCACTGAATGAAAATACACTTATAATTGTAAGGCTGCAATTCTGAGAATTTTTTTTGTCAATAGGCATATTTCCAGAACCTAAGAAAACATAAGAATTCAATATCTATATACAATCTGCTATAATTAAACCATGTTTTCTAGTTTCTAGATAAACATTAAATGAACTTGTCATCTTAATAACTCTCCTTTTACGTAAAGCCTGCTCGTTTCAAATACTTTTGTTCTGCTGATTATCTATTTAAATGTGTTTTTCAACACTGCTTTAAACTTCTGCTTCCTTTTTCTGTCACTGTTTAAAAGTTCAACTTCAGCTGACTGTGCAGCAGTACAAGCATGTATACATTTTCCTGTATACAATTTAATACATGCTAATAAATGATTTCCCCCTAAGAACAAAAGAATAGTATTTGTGTCTTTGGGGTACCCTTTTAATTGTTATATTCATTGTAAAAAGGAAGGCAGATATAACATGTAAACAGACAAATAGAAAATTCAAATCTGCCCTGGATGGCATAGCTCAGTGGATTGAGTGCAGGCTGCGGACCAAAGCGTCGCAGGTTCAATTCCCAGTCAGGGCACGTGCCTGGGTTGCACGCCACAGCCTCCAGCAACTGCACAATGATGTTTCTCTCTCTCTCTCTTCCTCCTTTCCCTCTCTAACATTAAATAAATAAAATCTTCAAAAAAAAATTCAGCCAAGGGAAAAGATGAAGTAGAAAGCAATTTTCTTAAAAAAAAAAAAAGAAAGAAAATTCAAACCAGCAAGTGTTTCCAGCTCTGTTCATTAAGTTGCATTCTTGAGTGGTAGATGAAATAAGAAATGAAAAATACTTGTTTCAGGGAAGTTACTGTGCTAAGTCCATCATTTGACATTGTAATTGTTTGATTTCCCACAGGACTCGAGAGCCTATTACCACCTGCTGGAGCAGGTGGCCCCGAAAGGAGACGAGGAAGGCATTCCCGCCGTCGTCATCGACATGTCGGGGCTCAGGGTAAGGCCAGGTCCCGAGCGGGGTGTGCAGAGCACACTGCCACCTTTGCGTCGGCAGCTCCGTGCGGCCCCGACTCGGGCAGTCCGTGGGCGGGCATCCCGGCTGACAGCTCTGTGAAAACTGCAAGGGACTGTTCCCAGCTCTGGTTAATAATTGTGGGGAGTTTAACCTGGAAATGACCCCAGTCACATGCCACGCACCGTGCGAGGCAGTTCTGTGCTTTTCCCCTCGTTTAACGGGCTCTGCAGCACCAGGAAATATTATTATTCCCATGTGTAGGGGCCTGAGTGTTACTTCTGGAAACAGATGGAACATTTATACAAATAAATGAACTCTCACTTTAGTTGATGAAAAAACTGAGACTGAAGGTTAGCTGATATGTCCAGGATGAGATGTCGGATTATTGGGAGTTATTCGACCCAAGGCTGGGGCTCCCTTCCTCGGGTAACTGTTCAGTCTACCCAACTGAACTGTTCGACAGTGGGACAGCCAGCCTTTCCTCCGAAGTGGTCTGTCCGGAAATGAGAGGATTTGATCATTTCACTTCTGAGATTCCTTTCCCTTGTGACTGCTTTTGGTTTAGGAAAATATGAGGAATAATGTGCTTATTTGAGGTTCAGCACTATGGGTTTTGGTAGGATACCTGTTTGTGCTTCTGTCATCCATGTCTGCTTTGTGCCTGGAAGGCCTTGACCCGGCCTTGACCCGGCCTTGACCCAGCCTTGACCCGGCCTTGACCCAGCCTTGACCCGGCCTTGACCTTTCCATCCGCAGGAGAAGGATGACCTCCAGAGAGCGGAATGCATGCTGCAGCAGGCGGAGAGGCTAGGCTGCCGGCAGTTTGTCACAGCCACGGATGTCGTCCGAGGGAACCCCAAGTTGAACTTGGCTTTCATTGCCAACCTGTTCAACAGATATCCTGCCCTGCACAAACCGGAGAACCAGGACATAGACTGGGGAGCTCTTGAAGGTACGTGGATTAAGCCAGTGGATTAAGAGTCTGGAAACACAGTCGCACTTCCAGGCAGTGGCAGTTCCTCCTGAGCAAACGTGCGCCCTTCACAGGCCAGGGAAGCTTCGCAGAAAGGTCATCAATCCTCTGAAACTTAACAGAGAGGGTAAGAGAGATTAATGAAGTCCATTAGAGCCAAGCCAGAATAACCTAATATTATTATATCACATCCATAATACATAGGCTTGATCCATTACCAGAACTGTTGGAGGAAAGACATGAATCTGATTATCAGATGAAATAAATCCTAACTTCCAAAAATCTAACGCATCTACTTAATGGACTGAGTGTTCAGTCCTAGAGGCAAGGAATTGCAGCCGCTCGTCATCCTGAAATGATACTTACGCTAGGAGGTGCTCACTGAGTTTTTTCGGCTTGGTCTGGTTTCTTTGATTTAGGTGGTGGGAGGCGCACAACCATATTTTGAGGCAGAATCCCTGACAATTGTATTCTGGGAGTTAATGCCCTAAGATTGAACAAAAAGCTTATGCCTTTAGTCAGTTTCTAACAGGTAAAACCGCCAGAGATGTTTCCTTTTTTCCCCATCATGAATGAGTCTCAATATCGAGGCAGGAAAATCAAAACAAAATTAATATTAAACCAATATCACCAGAGAGAGGAGTCCAGATTTCAAGTGTTGATGGATCCCCTTTCTGCAAAGCGTTAGCCTAGCCGGAAGTGCACCCTGAATTCAGATGCCAGCTCTCCTGCATTTGTGCCATGTGACAGGTCGTCGTCAGGGGTCCACGCATGTAATGTCAAGCCCTCTGACCCCCCGATTCCATCCGCCTCTGGCACATCCCCCTGTGGGTGCTCCCCCGTCAACCCAAGTTCAGCACAGACAGAGCAGAAAGGACCATAGTCCCTCCCCCGCTGTCTTTCTGCTCAACCCCCTTCCACCCTGTCCTCTCCTCTCCGGAAAGCCTCCACTGGCTTTCCCCACGCCACTTTTTCCTGCAGCCACCCAAACCCTGGGTCCCACTTTGATGCCTTCCTCTTCCTCACCCTACATGTGTCGAAGCATCAAATACGGGTCCTTCTTCCCATGGAATCGCTTTTTGATCGTTGGCTTTTGCTTCTGCTCTCCTGGACTCGTTAACTCACACACCAGCCACTTCAGCGGGTCTCGGGGGCTGCCCTGCGTTCGCCACACACTGTCCCCTCCACGGGCTTCGTTCAGGCGCGTGCTGCCTCCCGGAAGCTCGCACCCCTCTGCCCGGCGGGCGCACGGCCACACCGCTCTCTCCCTGTACCTCCGCCTTGCTCTGGCACTTGCTCTAGTTACATTAAACCCCCCCACAGGGACTGCCGTCTCATATTTCAGCCCAGATCGGCCGCTGTCACTCGGAGAGCCCTCCTTCTGGTTGCAGCCGCTGCACAGAGAGTCTTAGCTCCATGTACTGAGCAGCACGGGTCCCCGAGAAACCCGCTCCTCGTGGCTTTAATGAGGCCTTGCCCACCGCTCTCGCTGCATTCCTGCTTACCCTGCCTCCTGCGCCCACCCCTTGCCGCACCCCAAACCTCTCCCCTCTCCCCTCCGCTATCCAGGTTTGACCAGTTCCAGAAGGATAACACAGAATAGCAACCCTCATCCATCTCCACTGGGGTCCATGCCATTCATTTTCAAAATTCGACCTCAGCTTCTGTGACAGCCTCTCTCGTTAGGCTTTCCCAAGGTGTATTTATTTTGGGGGGAGGGGCCTGACAGATAACCGGTCTGCATTCGCTCAGGTGAGACGAGAGAGGAGCGGACATTCAGGAACTGGATGAACTCCTTGGGCGTGAACCCGCGCGTCAATCACTTGTACAGGTGAGAATATCTGGGGCCCGTTGTTAACGCGAGACCCCGAGACCATGAACGGTCCCCAGGATTTCAAGTACCACTGTGGCGTGTACCTTGCTGAGAAGGAGGGGGGCGCATGCCACACTGACCCACTGGGTCGGCCGTTCCGAAGGAGAGAAACTCACCTTCACACGCCAGCGTTGCCGTGTGTGTTTGGGGTATGACCATGACCCGGGGGAAGCACAGATGTCCCGCGTGTTGCTGGCCCAGCGTGTGCTGACACGCAGGCGAAACGGTAAATGTCACGTGTGCGAGTGTCCCCTATGCCCTGTGCGGGAGCCAGCTCCCCCGCTGGAGGCGACGTGCTGCAGCTGAAGGGACACGGGGGACGTCCTGGGGAAGGCCTCCAGGAGGTTCCCTCCGCGCCCAAGTCAGCCCCTTAACCTCCAAAGGCGGAGCGGCCGACGCCAACCTCACCACAGCCACCTCGGCAGCATCCCTTGAGCTGACAATATTCAGGGAGCGCCCGGCTCGCCGCGGGGCCCCTCCGCGAGGGAGGCTGCCTGAGGGTTCTTCTGTGTTTGTGTCCCGCCCAGTGACCTGTCGGACGCCCTGGTCATCTTCCAGCTGTACGAGAAGATCAAGGTGCCCGTGGACTGGAACAGAGTGAACAAGCCACCGTACCCCAAGCTGGGGGGCAACATGAAGAAGGTGAGCAGAGCTGCCCGGGCAGCACGTGCCTGCACCAGCCCCCCCCCCGCCCCCGTGGGCCCTTTCCCGGGGGGTGCCCCCCGCCCCCCACGCACCGGGACGAGGGGCGTTTCTCTAGGGCTTACGTCGTTAGAGCAGAGCAGGCAGGGGCCTCCATGGTTTCACGGAAGCAATCCCATTATTTCTGTTGATTGTGTGTTGATCATTCTGGGGGGGTGTCTTTAAACATCTCGATGGAAAGGTTCTGATGAAGAGCATTAGAGCAGGGCGGGGTTTCTCTACCCCAGCCCGCCCCCTGCCCCACACCCCACGCCCCACGCTGTCAAGGCGCTCATCCTGATTTTCCGAGGATCGGCGCCCTCTGCTGGCCGGCGGACTCGGGCAAACGGTGTTTGTTCAACGTCGGCACAGCGGGAACGCGTGCGTGGGAGCAGCACTCCCCACCGTTCCTCGCCTCTGTGAGTCCTCGCCATCCGAGCGTGGCCACGGGAGCACCTGCCCTGCGTGCAGACCAGCTGTGCACGCGGGAGAGAGAATCCAGGCTTCCCGTGCCGATCGTCATGAATCCGGCTGTTTCAGGGATGCCCTGGACAGGTGACCGGGCGTGGCTCCCTGTTCCCGTCACCTGATAGGGCCACGGAGATGTCTGTAATCCTAGAATTGCAGAACTCGTCGAAGCTCGAAGGTCACTTATTCTGACCATGTTGATTCCCTATTGTGTCCTTTTTTTTAGAACAATTTTTTTTTTTTAGATTTTATTTACTTATTGTTAGAGAGGAAAAGGAGGGAGATAGAGAGAGAGAGAGAGAAACATCAATGTGCCGTTGCCGGGGGTCATGGCCTGCAACCCAGGCATGTGCCCTGACAGGGAATCGAACCTGCGACGCTTTGGTTCGCAGCCCGCGCTCAATCCACTGAGCTACGCCAGCCAGGGCTTGTGTCTTTATTACCTTACTTTATCTGACATTGATCACCATAGAGAGGATGACATGGGGTTGTTGTCCTTCCCCCTCATCACCAGCTCGAGAACTGCAACTACGCCGTGGAGCTGGGCAAGAACCAAGCCAAGTTCTCCCTGGTTGGCATCGCGGGACAGGATCTCAACGAGGGCAACCGCACGCTGACACTGGCCTTGGTGTGGCAGCTGATGAGAAGGTAAAGGCTGTTTATCGAGTGTATTATCAACCCAGGAAAGCACGACAAAATGTTTAGGAATGTAACGTAATCTAGGAAAACTGTGTTTTTACCTAAACTTAAAACCAAGAGAGTCTTTTTTTTTTTTTAATGTTCCTGTTATTTTTTCCCTTTCCATTCTATCCATTCTGTTTTAGGCTTTGGAAACTCTTTTTATCAGGGTCCTAAATATTTCAGATTGTGTAGTCCTCTTCATTGGTCCCCCTGCTCATTGTGGAGTGACGTTCTACACGTCTGCGAAGATGCTTTTCTCTGAAATCTGCTTTCTGTGATGTCGGTGTCGCCCCTCCACCTTCCAGTTCAGTGTTCACACGGCAGGCCTTCCCACCCTTGTAACGTGACTTGCGTCAGTAACAGTCAATTACCTTTAAAAGGGATTTTCAGAGCAAGGGGGCACTATGCTACACTGACCTACATATCTTCCACTTCCGGAACTTTTCTTTCCATGGTGTAGGCCCAGATTTCTACTTGATATCATTAGCCTCCTACCTGAAATATTTCTAATAGTGAAGAGGAATCATTTCAGCTTCTACGTGACTGAAAAAGCCCACATTCCGTTTTTATTTTTGAAAGGTATCCTCTTTGTGTGTAGAGTTCTAGGCTACTAGTTTTTCTCGAAGACAGTGTCTGCCATCTCGTGGCCGCCTGCATTGGACCCAGTGACAAACCTGTTGTCATTTTTATCTTTCTTCCTCTCTATGTAAAATATGTCTTTTTTTTTTCGGTTAGACTTTTTATTTTAAAGATTTTCTCTTTGTCACCGGTTTTACGCAATTGGGTTATAATGTCCGAGTGTGTTTGTCATCCTTGGAATTTGCCATCAATCTGTGGGTTCATAGTTTTCACCAAGTTCGGAGTAACTTTGGCCTTTATTTCCGTAAATATGTCTCCCACACTGACGCACCCCTGTTTTGGGGGAGACAGCAGGTGCCCCGAGATGTGGTCCTCTGAAGTTGCCCCAGAGTTCACTGAAGCTGTGTTCATTTTTCTCCTCTGTTTCATATATTTTTTCTCTGTGCTGCATACGGGGCGATTTCCGTTGCTTGGTACTCAAATTCCCTGCTCTCCCTCCGATGTCTGATCCCCCGCTGATCTCACTGGGTGTGCGTGTTTACCCCAGACATCACAGCTTCCGTGTATGAAGTTCTTGGTGGCATCTCCCTTCCTGAACAAATAGAATAGAATTACAGTCGCTGTTATTTCTGGGTCTGTTTCCATTCACTGATTTTTATCCTCATTCTGCACCATAGTTTCCAGCTTCTTTGCCTGCCTCCTGGTTTTTTTATTGTACGGGAGACATTATGAGTTTTCCCTTGATGCGCACCAGATACTTCTGCTGTCCTTTACATATTCTGGAATCTAGACCCGGGATGCACATGGCTACTTCAGTGCAGGTGGTCCTTTGGAGGGCTACTCAAAGGCTTAATCAGTCTGGAGGTAATGTTGTATCTCAGTTCTGAGATCATCTGGATCAATATGTGATGCGCTGTGTATCTCATGGTTCTCCCACTCCTACTGATGGGAACCAGGTTGCTCCTAGGCCCGTGGGAGCTCCGAGAACCGTCTGGCCCGGTCACATCCGGCAGTCCCTTCCCCAGCCCCTGGCAGTTCCCTCCCCCGGGGGCCCTGAGTCGTTCTCGGCTAAGGACCCAGGCGAACCCTCTGGAGGGCCCTGGAGCCTCCCCCGTGGCCCTGCCGCTCTGCAGGCTGCTTTCTCTGCCCGGGTGTCCGGCCCGCAGATTCCAGGCAGCTGGACTCCCTCGTTCTCCGCCCCGCCCCGCAGCACAGGGGCCCGTCCTGCTCTGCTTGGGTTCCCTGCGCTGCTTGGGTTCCCTGCGCCTGCGCCGCCGGCTGGACACGCCTTGTGCAGTCGACCCGGGCGGCCCTGGGGGTCACCCCGTTTGTTTCCCGTCTTTCCGGAACTGCTGTTCTGCGCCTTCAGCTCCCCGGTGTCGGAACAACACTGGGTCACGTGTTTTCCGCTCCATTTAGGTGTTGAGGGCAGAAGGGTAAGCCGGGCCCCTCCGCGCCGTCAGGGCCCCAAGCAGAAGTTTCTGCTCCTGCTTTACGAGGAAAACGTAGTCGTCTTTCAGAGCTGGCTATCAGCGTGACAGGTGTGAGCGCTAGGGGGTGACACCACCACACAAGAGCGGGACAGAGTAAGATACGCAAGTAGAAAAGGAACTGCAAGAAAAATAAGCGATTCGGGGCACAAAAGTATTTTTAGAAGACTTGTAGGAAGTAAATCTCTAAGTATAAAATAGTGTGCTTCTAAACGCTTTGCTTCTCCCCTTACGCTGGTGGCCCTGGCTGGGCAGAAGTCTCCACAACACAGGCAGAGCCTGTCAGTGTGACTCGGCTCCTGTTTCCGCCTGGGAGGGGGCTCCAGGAGCCCCGTGTCACAGGACTGTGTCCCTGACAAGGCGATGGTGTGTGGTGTGCACTGTCCCCAGGCACGGGAGCCGTACTCCCAGGCCACCGCCTGCAGACCCTGACACTCCCACGGTCCGCAGAGGGATGTGTCAGCAGATCCCATGCTGTAGGGTAATCAGGAGTGATTGCAATAGGTCCCACAAGCCAATGCATCCAGCACGGTGCTCCATTACCCATCTCTAACCTGGGCCCTCAAAGGTCGAAGGTGGAGGCAGGGGCCGTAAAACCGCCGGCACAGGAAGCTCCAGAGCTAGAGAAGCTTCAGCCCTGCCTTGGGTTTCACCGCCTGCACCTAGAACATCACCGTGCATTTCGGGGGGCTGTTCTCCCCGGTGCGTTTCCAGAAACTGTTTTTGAATTGTTCTCGATTGTCTTTCACGTGTGTTTTTATTTCTTAACAGACTGGGTTTGGGAGTGATTGCTTCCAAAGCCAGAGCAAAACTCTTTTCAGTTGCAAAAAGTGAAATTGACCTCATGCGTTTGAATATAAAATAATCTTTGCTACTTTCTGTTTGGATCATTAAAACACTCAGTCCAATTCGGTTCTATTTTGGAATTTCACAATACATGAAAACCCCCTCGTGATATGGTCTCTGTTGTGGAACTTTTATAGGAGGGTGGTCCGAAGTCGTACTCTCTGGCTGGCGTGCATTTGACAAGGTCTGCTGTGGTCTCCTGGCTAAGAAGCCCTGTTTCTCATGAGTGTTTGCTGCGCAAGAATTGTGCGTGGAAGAAAGTGGGGAGCGCCCTCCGTTACTGTCGAAGGCAGGGAAATGACTGATGATTACGTAAATGCCACCAGAAGGACTCTTTCCTCCTGCGCCCACGTAACAGAGCTATCAGAATTACAGCTGGTTCTAGTGGGAATTTATGTCGTTGGATGGCACGGATGTGCTACTTCGGCCATTTCTCTGGGCAGTCCGTGGCGTGTCATTTTTTTTTCCCTACGAGTAACTGAGATGCATGTTTATACCTTTCCCGTTAGTAGCCTGGAAATAGTTCTCAGGTTGGAAAGCTGGCAAATAGTATGCGTATACATTTGGGGACAAAAGCCAGAAAGCAGCAGGCTGCCGCAGACAGCAGTGCCGGTCAGACTCAAGCCAACGAGGGGATTGTCCCCAGATCAAACAGGCTGGGACCGTGAACTTGGGATAGATCCTCAAAAAACAAAGCACCATGGTTTGTCCTTCTGGTCCCAATGTTAAATACATAAAACCAGTTTCCGAAGGCAGGAAAGCAAACGCATAACGCCTGCAGCTCCCCGAGGACACCCACGCATACCTGTGTACTTAGAAGCAGGTATCTGCTTCTGTTTTAAAACCCCCACACCTCCCCTGAGGTGGCAGGAAGCCAACCTTGTGCTCACCAAGCTCAATGCCCCCCAGGGGCTGTTCTCAGACCCCTGGACACAGTCACCGAGCTGCCCCCACAACTTTCTGCACCTTTTCAAACCTCCCTGTTCTGTGGTGGCTTTTTAAGCATTTTATTTCCGCGGGTAGACTTCTGTATAAAGGTGAGCTTCCCCGTGTGCCGTTTCCTTCCCTGGCCCCAGAAGTAGGTCGGAGCCCTGTGTCTGTCCTCCTGAGAGGGTCAGGAGAGCAGGCTGGGGCCCTGGACCAGGAGCAGCGACAGGTCGGGCCCGCGGGGAGCGCAGCTGCTGGACAAGCGAACTCTGTGTTCCGTCAGGCTGCACGCAGACGGGACCTGGGGCGGCAAGCGCTAACCAGCCATCCCTAATGTGTTTACTTCGGGCCGATATGCTTCAGTGTGCCATCAATGCTGGGAACTTAGCACACAGGCTAATGATTGAGAAACAGGAAGCGGGTGACGCCATAAAACATCACTATTGCGAACAGACTGACACCAGGGCCTTTGTGCAAACTGGGGATATGTTGAAACCTGACCTGGGACTCACCCCATTCGGCCCCATTTGTCCTTAGCAGCTTGGTCCCATGTCTGGGTCCAAGTTACAATAATGGTGGCTTATGCTGCCCTGAGAACTGTTCAGAGAATGAGGAATCCTTTGCCGGAGCCCGGAGCTGAGCCACGGAGGCAGGGGGGTGCACGGCGGGCGGGCGGGGGGAGGGCGGGGCTAGAGGAGCTGCTGGCGCTTCTGAGAGATGGAAACCCCCCAGGGCGTGGGTGTGGGGGGGGGGAGGGGGCAGGGGACAAGGCTTGCAAGAGAGGAGGGACTAAGAGACCAGAGATGCGCTGAACAGAGAGACGCTGGGGCTGAGTGAGGAAAGGCCTCAGCTGCCATTGACCAGGGAGGGTCACTGTCAGTGGCCAGAACTGTACTTTCAAAAGACACACATGCGCACAAAGTTGCAGGAGCCTGTTCCTCCCCACCCACAACGACCGCAGGTGGCGCTCTAATCCGACGGAAGCAGGGTTATCCCCGCTCTGTCGGAGGTTCGACTTGAAACCCCGGTGGAAAATCGGGGAGAGCTGTGTTTCCCAGGGAAGCAGTGACTGGAAGAGAGGACAGCGGACAGATTAAGTGCATGGGCGGCCGCCGGGAGGGTGACCTCCTTTCCATCCGCCCTCCCTCCAGGCGGGACTCAGGGCCCGGACACTTGAGCTCCCGAGCGAGCGGTGCACCGGGAAACCCTAGCCCTGAAGGCCTGTCCGGGGTAACTGGACCCCTCCGGCCAGGCCAGCCTGGACCTTGGGGCCAGCAAGCCTGCTGCACCGCGCTGACCTCCTCTGGAGCCTTCCGCCCGGTTCCCTAGCTCCCCCTAGCGGGCGGAGTCGCCCGAGGGAACGGGGAGGAAATTTTAAGAGCCTGATGCTTCTTAATAAAGTTTCCCAAACAAACCCAGTTCTCGGAGCAGTATTGAAGGTGATTCTTACTCTCAGACTGGAGAGTGACTTTGCTTTCTGTTTCAAAGTGACCTTCGTGGTGACGTATTCCTGATATTTCTACTTAAATAGAAGATCTCTCTCTCTGCCCCTCCCTCTCCCCCCTCCCCTTTATATGTATATAACGCCTGCTTGAGTGTGGTGGGTAGGGTAATAATATAGGTGTGATAATTATAGTTTTCATTTGGACATTTCACGGAAAACATCATATGGTGTGCTTGAGTGGGATACGGTTACGTTACAGAATTCCATGCTTAGGATTTTGTGATAAAACCAGGGGCGTTATTTGTGCCCAACTCTGCATTTTAATGTGTTGGCTACTTGGGTTGTTCTAATGTGGAATTGTTCCTTTTTTTATGGTTCCTTTAAGTTACTGGTTCTAATCTTTTGCATTGTTTTCCTTCCCGCGTCTCATTTGGCTCCGCCCCCTGTCCAGTGGCGGCGCCTAGGAAGAGCTCTCTGCCCCGCATCTCAGTCTACCGACCCCAAAGCTACATTTGACATTATTGTGCAGGGAACTGACGTGTATAGATATATATATTGCTCTCCCCCGCGACGTAATGGCGTCCAGGCTGTCTTTCGCGACACACCTGGAAGGAAAAGAACGTGTTCCACCCCCACTGCTTTCTGGGATATTGAGTCATTTAGCAACTCGTCTCCAGAAATCATTCTTGGTTTCGTTCAGGTACACACTGAACATTCTGGAAGAAATCGGAGGTGGGCAGAAGGTGAACGACGACATCATCGTCAGCTGGGTCAATGACACGCTGAGGGAGGCCGGGAAGTGCTCGTCCATCTCCAGCTTCAAGGTAAAGCCCCGCCCACTGCTCGTAAAGCCCCACCCACTGCTCGTAAAGCCCCGCCCACTGCTCCCGGCCCCCTAAGCCCTGTGCTGGTCTGCGCTCACGTGGCCGTCAAAATGTTTCCAGATGCCACAGGATTTGGGGTCAGAATGCCCGGGTTCAAATCCCAGCTCCACCACTTACCAGCCAGTCCCTTAACCTCGGACACTCCCTTTACTCACTGCGAATTCAATGTAGATGCCCACATCTGTGCTGCGAAGTGAGATCACTTATTTTAAAAAGGGGAAGGATTAAGCAAACCCTCCCTGCAAACAAAAAACTCCTAGATACGGGCCACAGTGTGTTGAGGAGAGGACCAGAGGGGGAGAGGACGGGGCGGGGGGGGGGGGGGGGAGGATAGATGGTGATGGGAGGAGACCTGACCTGGGGCGGTGACCACACAGTACAGTGCACAGAAGATGGATGACAGGATGCTGCACCTGAAACCCATATAATTTTATTAACCAATGTCACCCCACTACATTCAATTAAAAAAAAAAAAAGAAAAGAATGATAGTGAGGAGAAAATTCAGCCTGCAGTTGTGAAGAGAAAAGTGCTGAGCGAACTGTGAGGCGCCAGCAAATATCAGTTACTGTCACTGCATCGAATCCCAAACTGCCAGCCCCGTGTCCCTGGACCTGCGGACCCTCTTCTGTCCTCGAGGTCCCCAAGAAGTGAGCCGCGACCGAAACCCCTGGCCCACTGAGTCCTCACCACTGTCCCTGCCCACCCCCCCGGGGGCATCCCCCCAAACGGAGTAGGGTTTCTCCCGGTGTCTTTGGTCTCCCCTTTTGGATGTTTTCTTTATTTTTTTTCAATTTTTATTTTTTTTAAAGATTTTATTTATTTTTAGAGAGGGAAGGGAAGGAGAAAGAGAGAGAGAGAGAGAGAGAGAGAGAGAAACATCAATGTGTGGTTGCTGGGGGTCATGGCCTGCAACCCAGGCATGTGCCCTGACTGGGAATCAAACCTGCGACACTTTGGTTCGCAGCCTGCACTCAATCCACTGAGCTACACCAGCCAGGGCTGGATGTTTTCTTATCCAATCATCACTTCCTCTGCTCACGCCAGCAGTGACTGCCACTCTGCTTTTCTCTCTCCACGTGCTTTCTTGTGCTCTGACTGTTTGAGAACCTACCCCCGCCTCCCCACTGCCTCTGCTTGCTGACTGAGGGAGCTCCTCTGCAGGAACCACCAGAAATTTGGAAAGTAAACAGGTACAGCTGGTGCACAGCAGCAGCAGCGCGGCAGGCCCCAGGCCCAGCTGTGCCTATTTCCTGCGGAAGAGGAAGAGCCGGTGTCCCCACCCCCGGCCCTGGCGCGAAGCAGAGGCGACCTTGGGCCACACTGACGGAGCCCACCCCTCTCTCCCCGCAGGACCCGAAGATCAGCACGAGCTTGCCCGTTCTGGATCTCATCGACGCCATCCAGCCCGGCTCCATTAACTACGACCTCCTGAAGACGGAAAACCTGAACGATGAAGAGAAACTCAACAATGCAAAGTATGTACAGGAGCCTGAGGTCGAAGGTGGGGGTGGGGGAAGGTCCGACGAGCACCTGGATACCTGTGATGTGTGTCGCTTGTGCTTTTGTGCAAAAGCTTTAGTTTCGCTACAGATGCTTTTCCTGGACTTGACTCGCTGCGTGTGGCCCGTCCTCACTGTTTTAGATGTTGTGCTGTGGTCGGTTACGTCTCCTGGTGTGAGAGGGGCCAAGGCCAAGAGCAAGCGTGTTCTTCCGGTTGATAAGCCTGTGCTTTCATAAAACCTACGATCTAATCATAGTCTATGGGAGACCTCCCAGATAAGGTCTGTACAGGGCAGGCCTGAAAAGAAACAGCTTCTTTGTGCATGTCCATGGATATGAATGAGCAGGGCAGAGTTCAAGGTCAGAGTCTTCACCAGCTTGGGAGCAGCTGCCCTTTGCTTTACCGTGTAGACTGAGGGTCAGCAGACAACTATAGTCTGTGAGCCAGAGTTGGCCTGTTGTCTTCTGTTATAGATAAAGTTTTATTGAAACACAATCTTGCATACACACACACACACTTACCTGCTGTACTGCTACAACAGCAGTGTTGGGTAGTGCGGCAGAGCCCACACAGGCTGAAATATTTACTGTCTGGTCCTTTGTGGGACGTGTGCTGACCTCTGCTCTAGAGAGGTCATGTCCTTTCCTAGGGCTGCCGTAACAAGGTCACCCAAAGGAGGTGGCGTCCCGGAAATGTGTTCTCGCACAGAGTGGAGGGTACAAGTCCAAGATCAGGGTGACAGCGGTGCTGGTCCCTTCTGAGGGCCGTGAGGCAGAATCGTCCCCCTGCCTCTCTCCTGCCTCCTGGCCCCGGGCGGGAGCCCTTGGCTGCGAGCCGCGTCCTCCGGTGTCTGCCCCTCCGCACCCGGCCTCCCTGCCTGTGTGTCCGTGGCGGCACACGGCTGTCTCCCCTCCGGGGGTGTGTCTGCGTGTCTTCCCCTTGTCTTTGTGAGGACTCCAGTCATAGGACCTCCTGCTAATGAGTTACGTCTTCAACAGTCTTACTGCCAAACACGTCAGAATCTGAGGTACTAGGGGATAGGGGTTTTATGTTTTTGTAAAGATTTTATTTATTTATTTATTTATTTATTTTTAGAGAGGGGAAGGAGAAAGAGAGGGACAGAAACGTCAATGTGTGGTTGCCTCTTGTGCGCCCCCTACTGGGGCCCTGGCCCACAGCCCAGCCATGGGCCCTGACTGGGAATCGAACCGGTGACCCTTTGGTTCGCAGACCTGTGCTCAGTCCACTGAGCCACACCAGCCAGGGCCATATCTTCTTTTTTAAGGGACACAATTCCACCCATACCACAGGCCCAGAGTTAACAAGTGAGCAGTGCCCCTCGTCCTCTGTGTGTTCAAAACACCCCAGCGGTGCCCTTCTCTCTGTCCCCCACTTGGGAAAGTGGGGACCTGTGTCCCTGGCGCGCTGGTGCTGGAGCGCAGTCTAGCGGAGAGAAGATGAGTAACTCGAAGGCAGTTACGGCCGAGTGGGACGGGTGGCGTGGGCGGCAGAGGGCGGGGCGCTCCGGAGGAGGCGGGAAGCGAACTGAGGCTCCGGCAAAGGAAGCGGCGCCCCAGCTGCGATGCAGCGCAGGGAGCAGTGGGAAGAAGCGAGCAGGTGAAGGGGGTAAGAACGCCCCCCGCTGAGGGAAGAACAGGTCTGAGGACCCAGGACATTTTGTAAGTGACCTCAAAAAGAGCCTGAATCTAGAGGTTCGAGAGGGATATGATTAGGTTCAAGGAACGTGCCCCAGGTCTTACAATTACTCGGAGGTTTTGCTAAGATTCCAAGTCACTGGGGCCAGGACCCCTAAGCCCTGTCCTGTAAGGGCAGCATTCAAAACCACTTTAAAAACAGGCCAGAGGAACGACCCCAAACCTTACAAATGCTCATGGTAGCCAGACGATGTGTGAGTTTCGAAGCTCTATTTTTAAATTTTTAATAATTTTTCCTTTACATTTTTTGGTAGAAAATACATTTTATTTCATTAACAATTCACACAGAGGAAGTGGTGGCAAGATAGGCAAGGAAGAATGGGGACTACTTTAGCCTGATGACTGACTTTGCTCCGTAAAGTCAGAGGGAAGTCACGTCAGGGGCGCGGGGTGGGGGGGGAGTGGGTGACGGGGCCTTGGGTGCAGTGGAGACGCTCTGGAGCCGCCCTTGTGAGAAGGTTCTAGACAGCCAGCAACGGAACGGAAGAACCCGCAGGTAGTGACTATGTAGGCTCGTTTGACAATAGATCACAGCTAATAAAAATGAGCTTCCCGTGACTATATAAATAGAGCAAAGACGCGCAGGTGCAGCTGTGGTCATTTTGTGTGCAGTGTAAAACTGGCTACTGTAGCATCACGGCCACAGAACTGGACACACCTGCGGGCCCCACAAGGGGCGGAGTGGAACAAGGCATAACCTAACCGCCATGTCAAGTCAAAGTGTTGCAGACGCATTTCCCCTTGTTTGTCCTTGTAACTGGGTTTTCGCAGGTGTCGTCTGCGCACGTTTCCCTACACACCTTCTGCTCCGGCGGGATGGCTTTCTCTGCAACCGTGCAGCCCGGGAAGACCCCCTTGGCGCCGGCATCCAAAGTGGCAGGAGCCAGGGGGGTCCCTGAGGACGAGCGGCACACTGGGGAGGCCAGACAGCAAGTCTGGTGGAGCCGGGAGCTTTATGGAGCCGAGATTGGCCCGTGATCGTGGGGGCGTGGCCGTGGCCGGCTCTGGCCCCGCGGGGGCTGAGCTCTGCAGCCGCAAATTGACGCCTCTGAGACGTCTCCTCATTCTTCCTCTCTTCTCGCTGGCAGGTACGCCATCTCCATGGCCCGGAAGATTGGAGCACGAGTGTACGCCCTCCCGGAAGACCTGGTGGAAGTGAACCCCAAAATGGTCATGACGGTGTTCGCCTGCCTCATGGGCAAAGGAATGCGGAGAGTGTGAGGCCCGGCGGGGCGGGGCGGGGCTGCGGGCGGCTCACCCGCCTGCCGCTCAGCACCCCCAGGCTCCCGGGAAGGACGGAGACAGCCGAAGCCATTCCAGAGTTTCCCACTGGGTGGCGCTATCACACAGGATTCCAAAGAGGGTATTATCTGTTCGTGCCGGTAGCCTGGCCTATATTTAACAAGTGCTTCGTTCTTTGCAAAAGACCCAATCTCAGAAATATTTTTTTACCATTGAACTTACTGCTTTTTTGAAAATCTATAGAGAAAAAAAAAACCCTGCTTCTTGCCATTAGTCAAGCGTAGACGCTGCATTGTTACTCATGTTAACGTGCTCTTCCTAGCCAGCTTGAGGGGGTGCATTTCTGGTTTAGGGCGAGCACCACACCAGCCCTAAAGCTAGGCGGCGGAGGCTGAGGTCTGATCCACGGCAAGACTCCCTCTCCCCGTCCCTCCTCCTCCACTCCGCCGCCCAGGGACGTTGCTCTCCACCTGCCGGAGCTCTGCCTGCTCCAGGACCCACCTCCGCAGGCCATGCTTGTCTCCGGGCCGCTTGGAGCATCTGGCAAATGAGTCAGGCTCCTGGGGTCCCAGGAGCCTCCGGTAACCTGCAGAGAAGTGACACTCCTCATCAGAGCTTTTCCTCAGAACTAGGGTCCCATGTGTTATCAGTTTTTGGTGTTTTTTTTTTTTTCAGCCAATAAGAAGCCCCCTGGTTTTTCACCCTAGGGTTGGAGCCCAGACCAGGTCTAACCCCTCCCATACTGTGCCTTCAGGTAGATTCTTGGTTAGATCCACGGAGGGTGCAGTTGAGCAGCGCACCACCAGGGGGCAGCGTGGGGCCGTAACCAAGCCTCTGTCCTTTGGTGCCGCCCCGCCTGCCTCCCCAGGGACTGAGCCCTGCTGACTTGGACCTAGACCTTGGTGAGCGGGGGCTTCACGCACTCTTAGTCTCAGCGGGTCTGACTGCTGCCGGGCCGCATTATCAGTGTTTACTCTTCCTGGTACTGCAGGAGCCTGTCGCCACCCCCGACCTCCCAGGGGGCCATAGATGCCAACTAGCGGGGCCCCCGCGGGACCCCACCCCACCCCACACGGCCGCACACACACACCTAGCCATACCTAGCCGATGTCAAGCTGGATAAGCACCGGCTGAGTTGCTTTACAAAGAGCTATTTTACTGGATATTTAAAGAATTCCCAGCTGAAGCCCGAGGCGCCGCCCACCTCCTAGATCGCACACCTAGATCGTGAAAACCCACAGGGACCAGAACGCTGTGGGCCCGCACTAGGGCTCACCCGCAAGGTGTCGTCTCAGAGGGGCTGGGGGTGCGTCGTGGAGCTCGGCCGCCTTTCAAAGCCGTTGCAGCCAGTCACCCCGGGCCTGCTCCCGGGGCCCAGACGGGAGCCAGTCACGTCCCTGGCGTCGTCGTGGTCCGGATGCGAGGAGGTTGGCCTCGGGTCACCCCGCGCTCACCGTGGCCTCGGGAGAGTCTCCCCCGTCTGCCTCCGAGAAGAGTGTTACTGCCTTAACGCCCGGAATCTGTCCCAATAAAATGTCCCTGAGACTGGATGTCCCGTGGCGGTTCTGTGACTCACTGATTCCTTCGGCCCACACGCCCCGAGTGAGTGCCCAGCGCAGTGCTGGGCGGCGTGCAAAGGGGGGAGAAGGGAGGGGCGGGGGGGGGGGTGCTGCACCTGCACTGCCCTCTGCGGGTCCGGCCGGGAAACGCGTGAAACAGAGGAACCGACAGGCGTGGTACGTGACCGCCGCCGAGGGCAGGGTGAGGCCGCAGCTGATCACCGAGGGGACGGGCTGAGAAACAGTTCGGCTGAAAACGAAGTACCTCGGCGAGAGTTTGACAAAGCGGGATCTAAAACGAGGGCCGGGACACAGGGTCTCAGAAACACACTGAGCCCGGTCGTGAACAAAAGCCAGCCTTGGGGGCAGACGCAAAACAGCTTCTCGGGACACCTGAGACAATCTTTTGGGTGGGCAGTGCTGGGGGGGGGTGGTCTCCTCACTCACCTGGAGGGGCCTCACTTTGCAGGCAGAGGGGAGGGGTGTGCTGAGGTGTCCTGCCACGGTGGCTCCTGCTCGGGTGGCCAGCTGTGACAGAAGGGCATCTGTCCCGCGTGGGCACACTCTGATGGCAAGGTGCCACGCACCTGCACGGCTGCCGGAAGCCGCATGTAAGCTGTGTCCCGGCTGCACTAGCAGCAGCGTTTGGGTAATGGTCCATTCCCGGACAGGACGTCCCTGCAGCTTCTCCACGGAGCAGGCGGCCGCCTTCCCTGCACCTCCAGCAGTTAGCGGTACGGAGTGCTTTCGTACGAGGCTGCATGGACAGGCCTGCCGGACAGGGCCAGGGTGGCGGACCCGGAGCTCTGGGAGGAGAACCCAGGCTCCCCTGGGGCAGAGAAGGAGGAAGGGATACAGCGACCTCAGCAAGATCACTGTTCTAAATTTAGAGCATATTGTTACCTTTTAAGTAGTTGGAAATTAAAATTGTCCCCATGGGTCTACAATGGCAAGCAGGCCAGCTTTGCGCCCCCGTGTCCAGGGGCATGCTCTGAAGCCGGCTCGCTCAGCCAGCGCACTGAGGCCAACTTTGTGAGCCCCTGCCCGTGGTGGGCGGGGGTAGTTACACACAGATACAGTCTAACTCTCCAAAAGCCACTCCATCCACCCACTGCCGCCTCTGTGCTAGTCCACCGGCTACTGTTCCCGTTTCTTCTGTATCCTCCTAGAAATACTCTCTGCACACGTGACACCTCTGTTACTACAAACCATGTTACAAACTTACGTACGACTAGACACAACATTCTGTGGCTCACTTTTTCACTCGTACCTTGAAGATTGTTCCGCGTCAGTGCGTTAGACCCACCTAGATCTTTTCAACAGCTGCATAGTGTCCTCTCGTACAGGTTTGCCAAACGGTATTTAACCAGTGGCTTATAAATAGATATTTAAGCTGTTGAAATAGTTTGCCTCAGCACACGAGGCCACAGTAATATTATACCCACTTCCTGTGCACAGGGCATTCATTTGAATTTGGTAGGTACTTACCAAGTTTCCGTCCTAGCAAAGGTATTGAACATTGGATAGCAAAACACAGATCCTCCTCTTGTTTCCTCAAATTATTTGACAAAGGACCCTGGACTGAGAGAGACCCTGGGGCTGTTTTCAACTTCTCCACTTTATGTCTAAAGGAGCAGGTGAATCCAGCAAGAAGATAATGTGCGTGTACCTGCACACGGTGTAATAAAAAACCCACGTGATCGTTGTTGCAACAAAGTGGTAAATAAAGTGTGGGAGCTCGGGGAGGATTAGCTCTGAAGGGAGGGCTGGCAGAAGCTCTGTTCTCACTCTTGGCCACGTGGATGAAACACTGGCCAGCGCTCTCTGGGTGAACTTGACGTTGTTTTGCCCAGCATCTCTCTGCCAGCCTCACGATCAGAAACCAGAACTGTCCCTGGCTGGCATAGCTCAGTGGACTGAGCTCGGACTGGGAACCAGAGTGTCCCAGGTTCGATCCCCAGCCAGGGTACATGCCTGTGTTGCAGGCCATAACCCCCAGCAACCGCACATTGATGTTTCTCTCTCTCTGTCTATCTCCCTCCCTTCCCCTCTAAAAATAAACAAATAAAATCTTTAAAAAAAAAAAAAAAAAAGAAACCAGAACTGTCAAGCAGAGCAAGTCAGCAGCCTGGACTGACCCTCTTGTGAAATCTGGTCCCGGATGGTTTCCTAACAAAGTTCCTGTAACTAACCCCGCCCCCACCTCCCCCCTGCCCCCCCCCCCCCCCGCTGCCAGAATACCCAGCATCCTCCCCTTCCCTCCTGAAAGACAGCCGGCCACTGTAGTCTGTGCATGCATGCGTGAGAGAAAAAAGTTACGTGTCTTCTCATGTCTACGGTCTCCATGCATGTAATAACCCACCCAGCGCAGGGCACAAAAATGGAGGTAGTCTAGCCAACACCCACTCTCTCATCATTAACTCAGGGACAGGCGCCAACATGGCGTTAATATTTATGTTTTCAGGTTTGTCAAAATTGGGAAGTTCCATTCATACAGGCGTCTTGGTTAAGACAGAGCTGTCGTGCATCGAGAGGGTTAGGACGCACACAGACATTTAACTCCAGAGCTACCGGCGCTCCAACATGGAAACCGATGACTCAGCAGCAGGCCTTTCTGGGCCTGGCGGTCCCGGGTGCCCCCACCCTTCTGCTCCGAGTGCCGTTCCGGGCCAGGGGCCCCAAGAAGCTGATTAGAAACGCAACCTCACCCCCACCCAGACCCCCGAAACCAGAATCTACATGTTAATAAGACCCCCAGTTAATGTGCATGCACTTCAGGGTTGGAGAAACACCGTCCTAAAAGGAGTCGTCTTAAAAGATCTACAGCCAATACGCAGCTGCATGGCCCAGCTTGACACGAAATTAGACACATTCCCAATGACACAGACGCGAGAGGCCAGAAGAGCGTTCCCCTGCTGGTCTCCCACCCTCAGCGCTGGTTGGGAGGAGAGTGGCTCTCCCTCCATTCGGGTGCATCCAGCCTTGCCCCCTGCTGTCTCCCTCCCCTCAGGCCCCTCTCTTCCTTGGGGCGCCCACTCCCAGGCACCGGCCCCAAGAGCCGCGTCTCCCAGGCCCTGCTGGGCACAGTGCCGGTGTCTCTCAGCGGCTCAGCCTCCTCCAGCTGGCTGCCAGGACGGCCTTTTCAATGTATCTGACCTGGTGGAGCATCGCTCTAGTCTTCCCTCCTCTTCCTTCACACCTGCACTGAGCCCCAGTGGGGTTTCCTCCCGTGGCCTCTGGAGCAGTCCCTGTGACTCCCGGTGGTGGCTAGGAGACGCAGGGAACCACACTGCCCCGGGGTGGGGGGAGGGGGTCTCGGCCCTCCGGGGCCCACCCGTTCCCGCCCCAACACGGGCACTTTGCCGTGACTTCCTGGGACGAGGGCACATCCTCGTCATGGTCTCCGCCGACTCCCTAATGGAAAACGGAGAGAGCGGGGGCCGAGTCTCTCCAGGGAGCGACTCTGGTGTGCGAAGACCCAGAGGACGGGACAAGTTCCTCGTCTCCGGGGAACCGAACCACTCGCGGGGCCGACGGAAGGGAGACTCGTCCCACCGTGAGAAACCGGTGAAAGGGTTAGGGGTGATTCTCAGACGTTCAGATGCTTAAGAATCTCCGGGGGAACTTGTTAAAACACAGATTTTTTCCAGACCCCACCTTGGGACTCAGTGCCTACAGGGCGCATGTGCCCAGGAGATTTCCACGAATGCCCTCGGAGACCCTGGGACCCGCGGGCCACCCTTGGAGGTCGACGGGTCCAGACGAGCTGGTCTCCGCCCTGGATGCACGGGGCGGGCACCTCAGGAGCTTCGAGGCCGGCGGGGGCTCCGATGTCATCGGTCTGATGCGCAGCCGGGGCACCTGGGTATTGAAGATCCCCCAGTGACCTCCAGCATGACCTCCCTCCAAGGTGGGAACCGTGGCCTGTAGCCTGGAGTCCTCTCTGAAGGGCCATGAAAGGGAGTGGCCATCTGGAAAGGGGAAACGAAGGGATGGAGAGATGTCCAGAGAGAAACCTCGCGTTCCCCACCCTGTGCCCACCGTCAGCATGCGGTCGCCTGTCTGGGCGCCCAGCAGGCCTCTCGGCGCCCAGCAGGCCTCTCGGCGCCCCGCGTCGCCGGCTCCGACTCAGCAGCCAAAGGAAAAGAATCAGAACCTGGGACAGTTCTCTGCTCTCGGGCTTCCGCCCCGTCTGTGGCTCCGGAGACACCAGCGTCCTTCAGGGAGGGCGACAGAGGGGCCAGATACGCCAGGCCTTCGTGCAAAAGATAAAGCCGCTCCCCTCTCCATGAATAAACACGAGAGACAATGAGTTGGGGGAGAGGGGATAAACACCGATCAGTGATGCGTCTGCAGAACCTCCCAAGATTACGCATGCAGCTTTAATGGCCGAGTGATGTTGGAAGGAAGCCTTGTAAATTGGGCTGCACCTGAGCTTGTAAGAAAATACCACTGAACCCTGGCTGGCGTAGCTCAGCGGATTGAGTGCGGGCTGCAAACCAAGGCGTCGCAGGTTCGATTCCCAGTCAGAGCACATGCTTGGGTTGCAGGCCATGACCCCCTGCAACCACACATTGATGTTTCTCTCTCTCTCTTTCTCCCTCCCTCCCCTCTCTGAAAATAAATAAATAAAATTCTAAAAGAATGTATTAAAAAAAAGAAAATGCCACCAAATGGAACGACCCTCTCGTGCTCACCTGACGGCAAGCCTGAGCTGCACGTCCGAGCCAGGCCAGCCAACGGGGCCACGGCATCCGCCCTTGGCCTTGGGGGCCCCGCACCTGAGAGACAGGCAAAGCGGAGTCCCCCTCTCAGGGCAGGCTGTCCTCCCGGGCAGGGTCTTAGTACAAGGCATGGGGTTAGGGCTCCTGAAGACACATCTTTGCCCCCTGGCCGGTAGGCTTGGTTAGTTGGAGTGCTGTCCTGTACATCAAAAGGTTGTGGGTTCAATTCCCAGTCAGGGGACATACCTAGGTTGTGGGTTCAAGGCAGCCTATCAATGTTTCTCTCTCTCTCTCTCTCAAAAGAGAGATCAATAATTTTTTAAAAAATGACGCCTGGGTTTCCGCCTCACCCAGGTGCATGGCAGCCCCGCTGACTCCCAGAGCCAGGTGTGGTGGGGGCTCCTCTTCACCGCACTCACTCCTGCCCTCTTGGCAGTGAGTCCATCGCTCCAGACCCAGGAAAATCTTGCCGCACGAGGTTCCTGTAATCCCCCACACGGCCTCTCTGTCTCGTCCTGGCATTGGCCACAGATCTGAGAAGCTCACCTTCTGTGTCTCTACCTAAGTCAAAGAGGTTGGCAGAGACGGAGGCAAGGAAAGAACTGTGTGGGGCTCCATGGGGGACCCCCGTCGGCGTGGCGCACAGTCAGTCCACTAGTCAGAACTCTGCAGCCGTGGCTCCGCGGTGAACCCGACGCGGTCCCACATCTCCGCTGCCCTACTCTGCTTTCGTTCTTGGCCTCGTCCTCCCAGGGAAGTTAAATATTTGCTAGGCGGTCTCAGCTAACAACAACAACTCTCACCGTGCCTTCCCTCGGAGAGCAGCAAAGCCAGCGAGCTGGGCTGCTTGCAGCAACGCAGGGAGCCTCACCGTTACATTTTAACCAGTGTGTAAAGAAGGCGCTTAGGCAACCGGCTCTCGGGCCCTTGGCTTCAGAGACTTTGGTTTTCCTGCACGCCGCCGTGGGGATGAAGTTGTACAGTTTGGGGGTCCTTGTCGCCACGGTTGTCGTCTTCTGCGGGCGGCATGTCTTCGCATTTCAGAGGTAACCCAGCGGACCCTGGGGGGCGGGAAGCCGCTCCCCCACTTGCTGACCCCGCACAGAATCCGGCCGGTGCGCTGGGCTGGGGAGCAGATGTCACGGGTTGAAGGCCAGCTCTTTCCGGACCTTTCCGTGTTGCCCGGACAAATCGCAGATTTCGGCACGAGGGTCTCACTAGACGTAGGGCCTCTCTTCTCACCTGGCTCTAGTTCCTTTATCGGGAGGGCCCTAGGTGACATGGATAGGCAGTGTCTGTGGAGATGAAGGGAAGAGAAACTTCCATAAAAAGTAATTCTTGACACCCTAACACGTGTACAAGGTATCAGCTATAGATAACTTATTTTCTTCTTAGACGTGAAACACGGGAGGAAGGAGAGGGTGAAGGCGCACGTCCGATCGGCATGGCCTACGGGCAGATCGGCGCACATAGAAGGTTGGGCTGTGCACGAGTGTCCAGCCCGGAATACAAAAGGCAGAACAGTTGCGTCACAAGAGCAGCTACACAAACATATCGAATTCTCCTTTTGTGTAGCACAGCGGTTCCTTTAGGGGTTTCCCCTGTAAATCACTTAGAAGAACCCAAATGAATCCACCGCTCTAGCATATATAATGTGTGGTGAAAATAGTGCGTGGTTTTGCGTAATATCGTTATTGATTCTCCAGCCATCGCGTATGCTTTCCGAAACTGGCGTGTTCCAGAGAAGAGACTGTGGCTGTGGCAGCTGCTCAGGAGCCGGAAGGAGGAGGGAGTGTTCGTTCTCTGGTTAACACCCACTCGGTCCACAGCCAGACCCTCCTTCCTTTTCATGTCTTAAGCTTGTTTCCTTTTTATAATGGTCTCCAAGCCCCTCCCACTATAATCGATCCCCTTTCCACTTTTTATTTAACATCAAAACCCTGTTGTATTTTTCCCCCAGCGGCCAGATCTTATCTGCTCTTCCCAAAACCTCTACGCAAGTTGAAATCCTGCAGAATCTGACTACAACATACGAGGTAACTTCCCCCTCGTTTACCTGCGGATCGGTTTCATGCTGTGCAGGTGTGGTGGGCCGTGTTCTCTCCTGTATGTCGTCTAACCTACCTAGAGCGCGAATAAACACCCCTTCTCCCAGCCCTCTTCCTCTTCCCATGTCACATGGTTCTGCTGGTTTCCCAAATCAAGCCCTCTGCATTTGTGCTGTCAGCTCTTCGGCCAAGTGCATAATCATACCTCGGGCTTCAAGGCGTGCACATACTTCCAAAGATGCTACGATCCCAGAAGTCCACTAGGACTTTGCGTATACAACGATGATTTTTAACCAAGAAGTAAACACCAAAACCACCAGGGACGACATGTAAAAAGCTTTGTGCCTGGGACCCACCTCCCCAGAAGTGTAGACACTTGCCCGCAGTGTGCAGAATGGATGCGAGTGACAAAATGTCGTGCTAGGAAACGGACGGCTCCACGGGGTTGTCGGTGGGACCAGATTAGAGGTTCGAGGGGCGCACTAGGGGAGATGCTTGTGAAGGGTGAAAAGGGCAGGGGGCGCCCTCCGGCCATCGTGCAGAATACAGGTGTTTTATGACATGACACAGGTGTGGCTCACACCTGTGCAGAAGGAGAGATCGTGCACGAAGAGCCTCAGGCTCAAGGGCGGTTCCGTGAAGATTCGGCGGGACCAGTGGTGAGCCACCTGTAAGAGCAAACTCCCCTCTACTGGACACGGACCTGCGTTAACGCACGCACGGTGCCGGATCACTGGCCGGCGGCAGCCCTGGGGCAGCAGGGCCTCAGCCTCTGGCGGGTCAGGAGTGGGAACAGCCGGGAAGGTCGGTCTCCCGTGCGTCTCCCAACAGAAGAGTTGAGCGGCGGGTGTTCACGGCCAGCTCAGTACGGGCAGCGGACTCGCCACCAGGGGGCGCATCAGAGCCCGAGCACTCGGAAGTGTGTGATTTCAGACATGTTGTTAGCTGCGAGCCTTAATTTCCTCATCTGAACTGTGAAGATGGTGCCCCGGCCTGGTCCGTATCAGACTGTCACTGCAGTGGCCAAAATGTGGAAGTGCTTGGGAAACGTGTGGGGAAATAGGAAAAAATGTAAGTAATTGTGGAAGGCATTGTCCAAAGTCCGCAGTGAGAGAGGAACCCTGACATGAAGATAACGTCAAGAATATGGAATATTTATTAAAGAAAACCACCGTTGAATCCACTTTCTGGACAAAACGTCATTTCTATTCTAACCACCTGACGTCCACGTCCCGTTCTAGACGGCGGGGCCACGAGTACACTCATTCACTCACTCAGCGTCTTGTCAAATATTTACTGAGCAGCTACTATGCACCCGGCCCTCTTTAGCAACTGGAGTCACCGAGGAGAACAAAACCAGCCCCCCACAGAATAAATTATTACAATGCCGTGTGCATGAATGAGGGCCAGTGACCAGGGGCCACCTTCCCCTTTCCCTTGCCCATGCTTTTATGACGTAGCTGTGAATCACCGTGTTTGTTTCGTCGATTTTCCCCCTTGACCCTGCAGGTAGTTCTCTGGAAGCCAGTGACGGCCGAGTTCATCACGAAGGACAGAGAAGTCCACTTGTTTGTGAATGCATCTGATATGACCGTCGTGAAAGCCCATTTGCAAGACAGCAGGATTCAGTTCAGGTGGGCCTCACTCGGCATTTATGAAGCAGCTATGATAAGCACCTAGGGTGCAGGGGATTAGCAGGTGGCATAATTGCATCCTGGGAAAATAAATACTTACATTAAACACGGCAACATGGAAATCTCTGGAATGGGCTGGTCGTCACGCCCAAGCGGCTGGCTCTGTGACCTTGAACAAGTGGTTTAACCTCTCATGACCTCACTCCCTTATCTCAAAATGACTGTTAGACTCAGTGATCTGTGCAGTTTCTTAGAGTTCCTCCTAGTTCCTTCCTTCTTATAGTTCCTCTGCTCCCTCCCCAGCCTTGGGGAGCAGAGTTGCCATTCACTTGAGTAGACTTGGTGGTATCTCTCGAAAACGCAGCTGGTCAGGAGGGTTTTGCTTCCTTCACAAGGCCAGTGAACACTTCTGAACGCCTGGCTCTAGGGTAACGTGTCTCAAATGCAATTCCTGCTCAGAGTGCACGCCCTCTTGCTCTGGAGTCTCCTGCCAGCATCTTCTCTCTGTATCCGCCGTCCAAACGCCAGGGTCCTTCTGACGCCCTTGCCCTTCCGGGAGGCCGGCTCTCTTCTGTGTATCCCCTGGTGGCCTTTGCTGAACACTCTGTGATAAGTATTAACAATGTGATGGCAGGCGTGGACTGCCTCCTAGGCACTGTGCTGAGCCCCTTTATACAGTGTATCATTCCATCCTCATTTAACCTCGGGAGGCAAATACTCTGCTCATTACGGAGAGGAAAAAGGTTTTCCAACTGCCAGATGAATTCTCAAGGCCGGTCAGGGCTAGAACACGGCAGGGCTACGAGCCGAACTGCTCGACAGCCTTTCTGCCGTCCAAGCCGTGGCTTTCATCTGTGGGCCTAAATAAAAGTAGAGAAACCTCATGGGAATGATAACTACCTTTCAACTGGGTCGTCTCAGGTAAGGAAACGGCTTCGTTCGTTACAGTGTTCGCCCAGTTGACGGCGTGACACTTCTCGAGAGACTTTAAATAAGACCGCTTTCCCATACCTCCCCTCTTCCTGTGCCTCTGTTTCCCTCGGGGTCTGACCGCCTCCAGCTGTGCAGGACATCTGGGGCAGGTCACCCGTGGTCACAGTGAAAAACAAAAAAGGAGAAGACTATCATCTTCTCCTGGCTTTTTCACTGCAAACAGAATAAAACACTGTGACTCCGAATTGCACAAAACTGTCCCCTAACCTACGTGTTCACATAAAAGATGCTTAAACGGAGCACCACGGAGAAATGTCGATCACCGTGGGGGGGAGGGTGGGGTTTCGGAGGCTGTGGGAAACGCCCGTGTACCAATCGCCTCCTCCCCAGCGCCCCCTGTGGGCGGAGCCAGGAGGGGCTGTGCATTGCAGCTCGCCCGCCGTCCTCGCTGGGGTTGCCTTCCACTTGAAGAACCTTTCCATTGCTTAGGGATTTCCCCCTCGTGCTCACCTGTCGTGGCTGCAATGGGTCCTTTTGAGAAGCACCCGCTCACCCTCCGCTTCCTCCTCCAGGGTCCTGATGGAAGACGTGGAAGAGCTAATCCGCCAGCAGACCTCCAACGACACGGCCAGGCCCCGCGCGCCCTACTCGTACTATGAAAACTACCACTCCCTCAGTGAAGTAAGCCATCTGCCTTCTCTCCAAAACTGCTCTTTTCCCGGAACCAGCGTTCCCACCTCAGTGATGGGGAATGATTCAAGTATCGCAGTCGGTGGAAGAAGGTAGAAGATACCGCAATTAGGTTGCTTGTAGGGTGGTAATTCATCCTTGTGTAGATAACTGCCCGGGGAGATAGCATCACAGTGGGCACGCTGGCTCCAGGCGGGCTGTTGGTCCACCGCCAAGGGCACCTCTCGCTGCCAGGAGTAGCGCCGCACACGAAGGAACAGTGGCAATAGAAAATAGGGCCTTTTCGCTGAAACTGCCCCCCCAAAATGAACAGTCTAAGGAATCATGTCTCTGTGGACTCTTACTGAATAATGGCCACAATATCTCAGTGAATTAAATAAATGTATTCACTTATATTTAGTA